ACCAAACATTTGTCTTTTGTTCATGGCGGCTGTCAATAATTATCTAACCTTGTATTATTGAATCATGATTAGAGTTGAAAATATTGTGAAATCACAGAGAACTTATCACAATGTATGCAAAGTTTTTATATCCAAGCGCACTTGTACACAAGAGTATATTAACTTTGTTCGCATAACAGTTATTTGTAACAGCAAAAACGAATCGAGATAGATATGGACAAATGTATACTTTAATGATCAGAATTTAAATCTCAATTAAGCCATGTCTGTCTGTCCGTCCGTCCGTCTGTCCGTGTACACGATAACTCGACCAAAACTTGAGATATCTGGTATGTAGATTGCCCTTTATCCAAGGTAGGTTGCTATTGAAAATGGGCGGAATCGGACTATAACCACGCCCACTTCCCATACAATGGTCATTTCAGTAAATATTAGATGCAAATTGTTGAAAATTAGTATGTGGAGTAGAATTGTGGCTAAAAATAATATTGTTATGAAACTTTTTAACCGCCTTCACAAAAAGGAAAAGGTTATTAGTTCGTCGGAATATTTTTTTTATGTATGTTACCGCATAACTTTGGACCACGTCTATAATCCTTTTTAATAGAAAGGTGTTTGATCATGAAAAATTTAACGGTTATCTTATTTTTATATGAGAATTGAAGTCGGTTTTGTTTTTTGCTTAAAAATTGCTTGTGTTTAAATCGTTTCCATAAATTCCTGTTATTTATTTTAATACTTACATTATTTTAAGTTTGCTAAATTGTATCGTATTGTATAAAAACGGGCAGCCGCTTGCAAGCGTATGAAATTGAACAGCTGATACTATAGCCATCGTATGGCAATACCAAAATTTAACGCCATACGATAAACGGTAGCTATCCAATTTCATTTGCTAGAATTTAGTTCATGTCATGGGCCCGTAGTCATAGTCAAAATAAAGTCGACTTTAAAGTTAGTTGCAGCTTTTTGACATAATTTTCAATGGGATATCTGTCAAAAAAGCTGCAACTAACTTTAAAGTCGACTTTATTTTGACTATGACTACGGGCCATTGAATATAGGTCGGTTTTACTTTTTGTCGAAATTCACAAACCAAGGCCCCTATTATGGGTTACATTCGGGCCCCTATTGCGAGTGTAGACTGGCAGTAGAATAGAAATTTCTCGATCGAGTCGATCATCTTTTATTTTGCTATTGTGTAACTTGAATGATACAAATTTTTACTATTGTGAATGGTTGACTGAATTGTAAACAGCTGTTTGTTTGTTTACATTTGTTTCTTTAGTGTTTCATTTACATCATTTTTTAAATAATTGCTTTTATTATAAAATTTAAAAATTGATACAGCTGAAATATGATTTAGTGATAAGGAAGATGATGTGGAAGCTAATAGATTAGAGTTGGCTAAAGCAAGGAAGGAATTACGAAATTCGGCGACCCCTTGGATTTGGAAGATGAAGTGTATGTACATATGTGAGTTTTATGAATAGGAGTTACGTTCCAGATGCTTCACGGTTTGCAGGTTTTACAGAATTTGCAGGAAAAGCTGTTTTCCTCATTAATAAACTTTATGGAAGTTTAAGAAATACGGTACGGTTTAGCTATTTGTACAGCGATGTTGGGTATTTGTGTCCAAACGCGTGACCCGAGTTTAAAAACTTCAACATACAAGTGTAGCGAAAAAATTCAACTTTAATTTAAAATAAAGATTTCATGTTCCGAGGACTAGTCAATTAATAAATTATGCAGTTTTTTGTAAACTTTTGATGTTGGTTCTGCGCAAAAACACTGTGGATGGCGTAGCCGGAGTTATATGCACAAGAAATATTGTATATGTATCTTTCCCAATAGAAGCAGAGCTTCCTCCCCTCCTCTTTCCGGAAATTCCTTTGCCTATGTCCTTACTCTCCTGCATCAGCACGCCCAACCGCGCAAGTCGCCTTTTGTTGATTATAATTTTTGATCTGTAATTCAGACACATACATACATATGTATATTTCACAATTTTTTACAACGTCCAGTTCAATTGGCTTACTTTTTATCCATTAGACTGCGTTTATACAGGGAAACTTTTGTCGACGCGATTTTTCACATTCCCTTTTGGTGTTGCTCATTTCATTTACACACGACGATTTTTGTGTATGCAATTGTTGTTGTCAGCTGTGAACCGCTAACTCAATTTACACAGAAGAACGAGAGCACAAAGCGTGTTGCCCGAGCACGAGCAACTCGGTGCCCCTCTCCTTTCCTCGTCTCGCTCTCTCCTACAAACGTCGAGTTGCGGCAACAAAAATCGCCGTGTGTAAATGAGCACTTATAGTACATTCTTATGTAAATTTTATAAACGCAAACTCCAACGACTAAAAAACAGCAAAAGGATGAGCGATTAAAAAGTATTCACAGTCGCTAATTGAGCGACTAAGCGACACTCGCAATAGCATCGATAATCGCTTAATAGTCGTTTATCTACTGCCAGTCGACATTCGCAATAGGGGTGCAAAGCTTCTCAGCGGGGAAAAATATACTATTGTGAACAACCTAAACGAGCGAAATTCACAATAGCGCTATTCTTCATCGAATGAGCGTCATAATACGGTCGGTGTTATGCAGAAATTTTGTTTGGCAAACTGCGTGCAATTGTTGTTGCAGCAAACTCGGAGAGAGCGAGTTTGGCGACTCTCACAGCAAACTAATTTTGTTTGGTCAAACTGCAGCAAATTCGGTGTTGTCATATACAAAAATTTTAAATTTTGCGCGTTATGTACATCTGAAATTCTCATTTCGTGTTGGCAATAGCCATGAAAACCATAATGAACGTGCAACCCTGTGCCAAACTCGACATAACCACCTCCGAGCAAACTAAGCAGCCGCCATTTAATTTGGCAAACAAAAGTTTGTCTGCATAACACCGACCTACCAAATGAAAATTCGTTTGCTCAGCACTTTCGACCACAGTCGAAAATCGAATGCAACTCATAATAGCAATCGAATCGAAATTTTCTCCGTTTGGCAACTTTGGTATTCTGCGTTCCGTTTCCTTTCGATCAATCTTCGAAATTTACGATTATACCTATTCTACATTTCGATCGTAGTTCCGTTTTTCTAAGTTGCAAATTTGTTTGCGGAGAACGTTTCAATTGTTATTTTCGTGAGTTTAAATAATAAAATTTTATAAAAAAATTAAGTAAAACTGTGCATGATTGTAAGTCATCATAAATGAATTTTCTCAATTTCTGTGTTTTCGCGAGCGGTAATACGGGCAATACGAAAAATTGGCTCAAATAATGGCAACCAAAAGGGATGTTGCGCGACGTTTTCAAAGTGGAAGTCCAGGCGTTTTTGTTTATATTACCTATAAATAAGACTGTGAAATGCACTGATACAATTTATTCTTTTTATATAAAATGAATAGATTTATGCATAGATACATACATACATAAAATGTGAAGTTACATAAAAAAGATGCTTTTATTATTGCACTCGTTTTTACTAACTTTTTAAAAAGAGGTGCGTATGTTTCGAATTCGATCTTCGCTGGCTATCGAACTTGTTTGGTGGCAAATATTTCTTTGTTTTGTTTCGATTTCACACATTCCTATGCTAACAGCTGATTTCGAAAGATGTTTTCTCTCTTCCTCTTCTTTCGTTTCGATCGGAACGCAGAATACCCAAGTTCGATTCCAGTCGAGCGGAATGCGGCAACGTAATCGAAATGCAGAATAGGGCCGATTCAAAAGGTGTTCGCACTAAGCATTGAATAGCAACCATCGACCTTACCGATGCGTTTTTTACATCTCTACTTGAAGATCGAATGCAATTCGATAATAGGAACCCCGATGATTGCTGAATGTCACAGTGTGAATCCTACCATTTACTCCATGTTTATAACTAATGATATAACACCCGATTTACACGATTCAAGTACTTGAAAGCAATCCTTGCTCATTCTCTTTCGTCTTCTATTTGCTTTTACACGTTTCAATTCTGTTGAACTCAAGTTTTTGGTTCTTTAAATGGGAAGCAACGAAAATGCCAAAAGCAAAGCAAGAAAGTTGAAACGACTTGACGGTGCAAACGCATGTGTACTAGTCCCTTTTCTTCTCACCCCCTCTCTTCCACATGCGAGCAGAATTGAATTCAATACTTGAACTGTGTAAAAGCAGTCTAAGACTCGGCAATGTTATCGCCGTTGCTTGTCTAAGCAACATCTTATGCCAAGGCGAATTTATACAAGGCGGTATGAGCAATAGTCATGCCTATTACGGTATCAGACGGATGCCATCCGCACGGATCTAATCAGATTCGCACTGTCGGAATAAGCGAGTGCGAAGGATTAGATTCGTGCGAATGGTATCTGCCTGGCCGGAATAGGTATTGTGGCGAATACTGCGGCAACACAAAGCGAACAACGAGAAATA